TTATAAGTATTCCCCGCGCGCATGTTTCTGACGGTGTTTCAATAACAATCTCAGAACTCCCTTTTTATTTAAATTTCGATATCGACGCTTCGGATAATTAAAGATCAGGAAGTAACCCAGACAGACCTTTCTGCTGAACTCGAATTTCATTTCCTCAGTAGCAGTAAGAACACTGACAAAAAATTTATGTGATGTGCAATACTCATCATAGAAGTTGCTAACCGAAGCGGCTTTGATGACGACCCACCCTTTGTAACTGTTAATCATTTGCCGCTATCATATGAGTGCGTGGGTGTTACTGATAACTGACACAAGGGGTCTTACTTTCAAAGGCATCTCCAGTCCCACTGCATACTGCATATATTGTTCAGCCGCAAATTCAATACTGCGCACTGCACTGACCACCATGATCCGCTTGTGGCAACCAGGTCTTACAAGTATTCATAATCAGTCCAGCATACTATGTTCGCCCCCACAAGCGAAAAGACGAGTACCAGGAAGCAGTTGCATTTTACTAGTCCAGGAGAGTCTTATGAGGCTTTTATTCCCGCTCTTGAGCAAGGTGGTTTTCAGGACTAGTAAGCATGGCCCGACCACAGACAACATGCGCGTTCATATGTCGCGCAAGCCCCATGTACTCGCGCGTAAAGCAGAGGATTTTTAAGAACGGAAACCGACCTATCTGCAGTATTGTAGCCATTAACATATCCGCCCTTTAAGAATAACTGGAATACGCTCTCATCTGCCTCTCTTTTAAGCTTTATCATCTTTAATCCAGATCCACGCTTCTAGATAATTGGATCGGAGTCCCATTACTTACGCATGCCAAGTTCCCTCCCACGTTAGTCCAAATTCCTGACGAACATATACTTTCCGTTAGCTAGCAAGGGGACTACCGGAAATTTTGCTACGAGTTTCAGGAAAATGGCGTGTTTTTCAGCATTTATTCATGCTTACAACAGGACCAAAATCCGAACACGAAGTAATAGGTTTAAAACATGTTCTTGGTAAGTTTATTTCACCCCACAGCATTATCAGCCTTATTCCATTGCTGATTAAGAGTGGAACCGTAAATATTATTGTATTATAGAGAAGTTTCACAGTGATGAGCAGTCCATGTTATAGTACCTGGCACATTTTGACTGCTGGGAGTTGTGGGAGACAACGGATCTTAGTTTAAAGATGTCTCAGCCAACGCACTCGTGAATTAAACGCATGGTTTTAAATAAAATATGGAAAACATGCGTTACAGTTTTATTACCAAGCACTAAAAAGGGGCGGGCATAAAGACACGGTATTCGAATGCTTTAGAGGATGGATTAACAAAATATTGCTCATCCGCCTGTTTAACTCAATATTAGAATTGCGGAAATTCAGTCTGCTTTTGGCAAATGCATCTGGAAGCCGGACCAATCTTTTTTGGGCGAGTGCTCAGATAATTAAAAGGATTGATAGTACTTGGAAGATTCCCTTCATTGATAAACGTTTTCAGATGCAGCATAAACTGCGTTATTAAAGAAGATGGGGTTGTCGTTTTCTGCAGTGTCTATAGGGATGGAGGTTCTTTGCCGCATAAAACTATTCTAGACTGAATATCCAATGGAGTCAGGGGCAAAAATGGACCAAACCAGACTAACATGATGGCCTCAAGGTCAGAATGATGTGTGCGTTAATGTCTGCGCTCTTTTTTGACTCGGCTATGGTCGGTAGAAGTATATGCAGAGGAATACGCTATGGCTGTTGCCGATTCCCATGCTGTACTTATTGTTCTACGATTTGGAGGCTCTATCCACTAAGGACCTTTAAGACAACATAAAAATATTTTCAATATCTAGGAACATGTTAGGATCTGCATTCAAACTCTACTGAAAATGTTTTTAGACTTTCATAAGGTAAGTTGACCCTCATCGGAGGTCAACAACCATATAACGGGACCCTGCTTTTGCCTCAAACATCTGAGCAGATGATCATTCCATTTTGAGTCCATCACCAGTACACTTCACGGGCCAAATTGCGGAATATTTTCTTCTCTTATGGAAGTATCTAGCCTTCAATATATAAAATATAAAGTTCGTTTTTACTATGAACTCTGCCAACAACTCGATCAACTACAGAGATATTAGGGGGGTAATGACGGAGACGAGGGTATATTGATACAGTACTCCTTCGGAATTATTCTGCCGACATTTATCCATCCACGATCCTGACCGTCACAACGGAGACATAAATGCTAAAATACGCACGAATACGGCGCAAATGGTCCACTGATAGTGTATATAGACGATTCAGTGGCATTTCCTAAAAATGAAGCTAACCGGTGCCTTGCCAGCTGGAAGTATCTGCCGTTGTAGATCAGATATTTATTGATATGAGAATGGTGGCGGAACAACTTATTGGCTACTGGAAGCAAATAAACTCCAAATGGATGGACTTCGAAGTCCTGTCGGTAACATATGAATATTTCCCGCGTTATATGCTGGAGCTGTGGATTTCGGGTGAAATATTCATATCAACCTTTGTACGTAACCTGAGACTGTCTGTGCCGAAGAATCTACTTCAAATTCAAGCATTTATTTCTAACATGATTAAAAGGCTTAATGGCGAAAACTGTTGTATGTATCAGAAAGCATATGGTGTGCGTTGGGGAACTCACTGACGAGCCAAACGTCACGCGGCTGCGACATGCGGTAGCAAACGAATTGATAAAATAAGTTTTTTGGCAATACCATTCTGCCTATATATATATATATCAGGTGAATGATTTCAGAAATAAATCAGTGCAGGACTTGGAGTTAAATCTCCGGCACATGACTTTTTAGGGTCAGAACCGAAATTTAAATGAACATTATATATATATATATATATTATCTGTCCGCCCCCATTCACACATTAGTTGCTTGCCTGTCAATGGCTGCCCTGTCACACCAGCAAATTTATTCTGACCAGTTAACTTTCTCCACTGTTTATTTCGTCTGACGACGGGTTAGTGTCACCAGCTCGAAAATTTACGAGTAAAACTCCATTTTTTCCGACGAGCCTTCTATCTTCATCATATTATCTCGGAATGCACACTACCTCAGCTATCCAATATATATGTAAATCAGGTGGTACTGACAAAGTCAAGGGAGACCGGAGTGGCCATTTCTGGCTTATTAGCCGTCATCAGCCAGTCATACCCAACCCCAAGTGGGGATCACTTGAGATTCGAACCCGGTATCTTTGGTCATGGAGTTTGACGCTCTACCATTGAGCCACGGGCCCGTTGTCCTGTCGGTTGTGATCGGGAATATTAATTATGATAGTGGGCGCTCACCGATCAGGTTACGGAACATGCTGTTTCCGTTGTGCCTTGGGGCTCATACTAGAACCACCTGATTTACATCATTCTACTAGTCACTGTGCGACTGCCTGCGAGGGTTCTAGTATGAGCCCCAAGGCACAACGGAACGAGCATGTTCCGTAACCTGATCGGTGAGCGCCCTCTATCATATATATATAGAATTCAATAAGCAGGGCTACCGACGAGGCGTCAGGCCAGAGACGGCAGCAGTCGAACCCAAACCCAGGGGGAACACAGACGGGCATAGACAGGAATTGGGAACCGACGAAACCAGGGGACAACCGGCGACGAACACAAACCCAGGAGACCGCCTTCTGGGTCCGAACACAGACAGACGCCAGCCCCTGGGGAGAGCGCCCGACAGTGACAGGACCCCCCAGCCCGACGTCAACACTGGCATGACAGCCACCATCAACACGTTTACGGTCAGGTGTGAACGGGGCGGCGAGCCGAGATCCCACGACAGTTACAGGAACCCACAGCCCAACGTCAACACAGTTACGGGCAGGTGTGAACGGGGCAGCGAGACCCACGACAGTGACAGGAACCCCCAGCCCGACGTCAACACTAGCATGGTAACCACCGTCCACACGAGTACGGGCGGGTGCGAACAGGGCAGGAAGGCGAGATGCGCGGAGGGCAGACAACAGACAATGCAAACAAGAGCAATGGCCGCGGTCGCTCTGATGCCGCTCCCCTTCTCACACCCGACAAAGGATGAGGAGGAGCCGTTGTCGCCACGACAACAAATCGCCAAGCCTTGAGATGCCGCGCGCTGGCAGTCAGTGACACGCCAGCACGAAGAACAAAAACCCATAAATACTGTGACGTGCAGTACGCAAACCACCTCCGATGATGGAAGCTTGTTTGCTTTCGAAATGTCAAGCAAATATACCTATGGTTCCTGAGATCGCCTTATCTTCTCATATATACAGATATATATTTAAACAAATGACAGGAAGTAGTTTGCTCATATAACTGTTTCTACAGCTTGATCTACACAAGAAGCGTACCCACGTCATCCACATCATAAAAATAAAGCGGACTGGACCACGGCCCCATGCACTCAAGTTTGTCCCGACCCTTAGGACAGGGGCACGTTTTAACAAGGTTGAATAAAAAAAGAAAACCTGGTTGAAGTCCCTCTTCCGTCCTTTATCCACAGACGTATAATGACCTCTAAAAACGATTAGCCTTACATTCTATTTCGAGCAAATCTCCCCCCATTACAGACTGTTTGTCTTTGTATAAAAATTCAAACACTCAAAATATATTTTATTCCGCCTTACTCTGAAGGACTCGGCGGCCTCGGTGAGATTTAAGCCCACAATAACAGGAGCAAGACGTGGGTATAGCCAGCGCTCTAACCACCTGAGCTGCGAGACCCCACTTGTTATGTAAAGTTTACATATTGAAATTCTCAGAAGTGAACAGGTACTTCAACAGTTTATGTGTACAAAGATATTTTGCAAATCATTATCCAAGCTACCCGATGGGATTAATATAAAAATTTGGTTTTTTCTTTACTGGTAGCGTCAGAACCGTAGTCTTTTAGTATAAACCTGCCAGACGGTTTCCTTGCTTAGACAAAGGAACTAATGTAGAAGTAATACACATATATATTTTACGTTAGCTTTATTTCCATTATTCACTGACTTGTCTATGCAGAAACATGGACCATATCTGGTGTCCTGTCCTTATGCAGGTCTGTGACAACGACCTCTTGTCCATCCCAATCGAGTTTTGTCTTACGTTGCCACAATCGATCCATCCAAATGGGACGTAGACTAAGGTGCGAGTCAGCTTCCTTTACGTTTCTTTTTCCGAACCTAAATGGTCGAATGTGATTAAAACAAATTTAAACTAATTTCTTAAAATAAGATAATGAACACGCGTTTTATCAAAACTATTCATATATTAAAGAGACAATAAAATAGGGGCCATTGCTGATTAAAAGAAACACGTTTTTTCATTTGCGCGATTTTGTCATCCGTCATTTTAGTGAAGGACGAAATGAAACCTCAATCTCAGAACGTTAAACCCCATATTGTTGACTACATCGGAGAATATAAATGTGTGCTTTGTGTTTCCAGAACAACCAGCAATTACCACAAGGCCCCGTGTTTTTTACTTTTTATAATTGTAATCATAACAAGAGAACAAAATAGTAATCTCAATGAAGCCAGTATTGTGATTCTTTTGTGTCTATGGTTATGGATTTATACAAACGTTAATAGCACACAGGCCAATACAAGCCATTCTTATATTCGGGAGGCATTAAGCTTAAGCAAATGAACTAACATAGAGATTAGATAAAAATATTGTTTTTGAGCGGGCTCTATGTCCATAAGTCAGTCGATTGGCCATATCCGTTATTTTGTAATTCTACTGGCATAATTATCCTGTGAAAAACTTATGACTTTTGTTGTAAAATTCACTTCTCCGTCAGCATACTTTACAGTAAAAAAATATCTAGTAAACATTTTTTATTCTAAGATAGACTTCGGATAATATGGTATACACGAAGCTGTGGCAAGCATAACCAGGCACAAGGCGGCAGCGATAGCGTGTTTATTTTCTTTGCAACAAGAACCTAGGAGTCTCGATTTTGCCTCAACATGCATGTGTATACACATGCACACCAGGCTGCGGTGACTCCTTAAACTGGTTTCTATATCACTCTCAATCGTGGGATCTGCACCACTCTTGTGAAAGCCCAGTACATGTTGTGGGGACCAGGCAATGTGTAGCACGCATAAGCGGACTGTCTAACTTCGTCAGTCAGCGGTCAGAGTCCACCTCCAGTCGTCTTGACGTTTTTTTGTGTCAGAACAAGGTAATTGGGGGTGCAGTGGATACAGCGTAAGTGTGCCACACTATGAGATAATTCACACGAAGGTCATCTGTTGAGGCAACACCGTGGGGTTCACGGTGGACGTCCGAGCGTCCTTCTGTCCCTTGGACCTATACATACATCAAACGTCTGAAGAAATTTGGTTAACTCAGTTATTTTTGAATAAGCAAGATTACTGGTTTAGTTCTATTATTCTTAAATAGTCTCATGTCGGACCTTGCTGAGCTACTTAATTTCCTAGTTGCTTTATAATTTCTTTGCAAATGTCAATATTAAATGGATACTTCTATACTTTTAGTCACATTCATCACGACCTGTTGTCTCTGGTTTAATTGGAGCATAGCATTTTTAGTGAATTTTATTTAGCATAGCTCTAAGTATTTACTTAGGCATATTCTTTGTATAGGAGTACTTTCCGGAAAGTGGCGATAATGTGGTGTAGCTTAACTTGTCTTCCTTATGGAATACAAACAAACGTGGACCTAAACTCTCAAGATTGAGAAAGTACATATTACACACTAGCAATTAGTAAAGCTGGGCCGATATTATTAAACATGCGGCGGAAAACTAGTCTTTACTTTTAGGAAAAATCTATTTATGTTTTCTGGGTATGCTTACTTTAACTCCTTGCCCTTTTGATCATTCCACATCATGCCTCCCTCGTGGTACTAATAGGCCTAACGTTCTGTTTAGAGTTGAGTATGGGTATAGGAGGTTATAGGTCAGGATTCGAGTCGAAGTTAGGGTTGAGGCTATAGGTTATGGTTAAAACTAGGGTAAGGAGTTATCGTTGGGATCATAGGTTATGCTCAGGGTTGGAGTTAGGTTGAGCGGCCGTGGCTAGGGTTGGCTTTATACATAGATTTAGGGTTAGGCTATCAACGTTGTCAAATAAAATTATATCTTCATTCGCGTCCGTTTCAAGAGTCGGATTGAACTATGTATTCTTTGCACTTTTATGGGACCCCGACGGGTCTTTAATAAAAAATTATTGTTATTATTATTATTACCTTCATCTTCCGTGTGATTGCTCATCACGGGGCGGGACCAGTTCGCTTGGAATATCTAACCCATTTGTTCGTTTACACCTTCTAGCTTCCAGGATTTAAAATTGCGTGCTCAGGTTTTTATGCTTTCTTGGTGTATCTAAACAAAGTAGTGGCTTAGGTGCAAATTTCTTACTTTTGCTCCCGGAAAACTTCTATTTTTCCGTTTCTTTTGTCTCACCCATAAAACCATTATCCCCGTTCTCGTATTACAGGGGTCATTGCTTCCCGCTTTATCAGTGGTGCTCTACATCCGATCGTTACCAAATGTGCTTGCAAGGAGGAAATGTTAATTAAAAGAATTTTCCCCAGTCGTTTGCAAGAGCTTATTGTCAAGTTTATTTACACACGACAGGATGTTAGCCCCCCGACGTGGAGGTTATTTATGTTACCTCCAAAAATCCCATTCCCAAATAAATCGTTAGTTCGTTGGTGGGGATGACTTCATTTGTTTGATTTTTTTTTGATTTGATCACACACCCAAGAAATCCGAAATAAGAAATCTTCCTTTTGTCATTCTCTGGAAAGCGACCTATTCTTTGAATATTTTACACAAAAATGAGCATATTATAGGTATAAGTAGAGCTAAGAGGTTCCACATTTTCCATAGAAACTAACGCTTTCATGCGTCTTTGAATTACTAAACCGTATATTAATAAATCAGCTAAAGCGAATATTTGCTATCCTTGCGGCTTTGTGCAAAACCCCTCTTGCATATTTTGCAAGCAGTTTTAATACACCTATGGGTACTAGACTACAAATCCAGTTAAGCCGGAGTTTAAAAGTTCCATCACTTTAAACTTTCTTAAGACTGAGGGACACCCATCATTCGAAACAAAAATATAAAAGGGAACAAGTTTCCTGCAAAACCTGTTTAAGAGAGAGCTTAATCTACATTTTCTATGTAGTGCATCCGAATTACGGCAGTTAGCGAATACTCAGCGATAACATTCACTTTGGAAAAAGAGAAGGGAGAGGGTCTCCCCTTTCCGGGCGTCCAACTTAGTATTAAGCCTGATGGAACAATTTTGCAGGAGTGTATTTCGTAAGAAAACATGGATAAGGTGATAGACCAAGTTATACAGTTTGCCGCTCTCAGTCAAAAAACAAGGCTTAGTCCACTGTCTAACTAAGTGAGCCATGGAGAATGTGCATTCCGGATATGCCTGAGGCCGAACCCGCCTTTATACCAAACACTACGTGAAAAGGGCTTTCTGGATATGTTTGTTCTGAAATGTATGGAAGAACGTCCTGTAGAAACGGACATACCAATGACTGAGAAGGAGGAAGTATTTCTCATACTTTCTTTTAGAGGAAACCTGACAAGTAAACTTCTACAACACTGCTTGGACTCTGCTACTGCGCTTACGTATGCAACCATTAAGACTCTTGTTTTCAAGCACTCTGCTTCTTCTCCTCGAAGATAGTGATAAGCTTCCCTAATAGGCTTTTTCACTATGTATCTACGCCTTCACTTGCTCCTGCAGGGCAGGTTATGCTGGTCAATCACCTAGTCGCCTCTCCAAGCGGATGAGTGAACACCACCCTAACTGGTCAATTCGAGGTGTGAAAAAGTCCATCTTTAGCGTGATTTGGGCTCAGTTAGTTGACAGGAGCCATCGGGCAGACATCAGCCAAACATCCCGAGTCATCTATAATGTGCCAGGAAAGTACTCCCAGTTCCTTCCCCGGCGGATAATTGCGATGTCAGAGGCAGTGGCCATACGGTTAGCCAACCCAGCCTTGTGCTCGCAGACGTTTATACAGACCCAAACTACCTTGGGCCAAAGATAAACTCAGCATGTTCGTTACTACATCTTACCGCGTCGCATTACAACGACTAGACTTGAGCATAGTTCACCATCAGACTCCTTCCCCCTTTCACCCCTCTGCCCAAGCCCCTAATAAAACCGACATGTCAGAACGCCCACAACCCTTCCCCCATGACTACTTTTCATAGGCTGTTTTAACATTATCTGCTTTACATAAACTAGTATTATTGTACAGGTCCATGGATGAGTAATCGAAGACTCACATTCACCGAGACTTATTTCTTTAACTGGTAAATAGATGAACCTTTTTGAGTGTAGTATGCAAAGCCTGCCGGAATGATACTTAATCTAAAACCAGCACATTTCAACGTTTTAATTAGCGATAGCACACAACTCGAATTTTCTGAGCCAACTTTACTCAAACCGCCGATGCTTTTCTTAAAGCAGAAAGGGCAAGATGTGGTTATGTAGCCCAACCTGATACACACACTACTTTTCAGGTTGGGATTAAGGGTTAGGGTTAGAGGTTAGAGTTATGGATTAGGGAAACTATTTCTCAACCACTTAAAGTACAAGCGCGCACTCCCCATAGCTTTTCTTTTGCATACAACAACTTGACCTCGTCGCCTGTGCGTTCCCCGGTCCCACCTGTAAACCCCCCTATTACCACCGGTCCAGGATTACAGGTGGCTGGGGTTGGTTTACTTCAGGTGGGGCTACATAACCACATCTGACCAAGTACGGTACCGTAAATGCTAGTCAAACGACCTAAATGTGTTTGGTAAACATCGTCAAGAGTCTCTTTTTGTAATCTTTGTACAGGCAGGCGAAATTGACTTATTTTTGAAAGAACTTGAGCGATCTTATATGAGAAAAGATTATTTTGGAATAGCTTTGATCACGCAGTTACGTCAGTGTGAATGGTATAAGCACACGCCTCTCTCCATGTGACAATTTAACCTTATACTTTACCTGGATGGTTCAGGGAAATACTTTAAACTACCAGACATAAAGATTATACGTTTGTCCACTACCTATCAAAAATGACTTAGGCATGACAGTATCAAAGATCGGAGCTACGCACCCTGCGTTTTATTCCTGAAGTCACCGAGAAATCAATAACTTAGATGGGAGTAGAATGTTTGAACAGGCTGCGTAATATTTAAATATGAACGGACTCGCGTAACGTAGGAAATTTCCTGCTGATCTTCAATTATCGACGAAAATGTCAGACAACAGAATTAATAAATAACAAAATATGAACAAAGGTATCCCACATCGTGTTCGAGTAGGCTCATTCAACTCATATACTATAGAAGCCTGTGCAATACTTCAGCTTTCACGAGCATCTATAGGAAGGTTTTATCATTAATTAACGTTTGCATCGAATTTCAAATAAATAGTCAATCCTGGGCGAAACGAAGTTTATAGGAAGTTTTCGAGGTAACTCGGTTTCAAGTGTATTTTAATTGTGTAAGTATCCTACCGTGGTCTTCCAAAGGTGTGGTAGTAGTTGCTAAGCTCTTGCATCATCCGATTTAAAAAGGCAGAATCCACCGGTATGTTTGCTTGTCCCGCTGACAGGGAAACGCGACTTTTCTCAATAGATGGCCGTGAACTAATGAGATGGGCGAGAAGCAAAACAGCAAAGCTAATCTGAAATATCATTTTTCGGAAAAAATTGCCAGAGTAACGAAACTTGCGAGGCGAAGCTTTTATGAGAGAAAGGCTAATGTCGTTGGTATCTGAAGCGTCCATTCGCTGAAGGTCCGGAAAGCGCATTGGTCGACGCGTAAGTGGACGATCCAAGCAGAATTCGGTTAAGTGGAGATAAAACAGAGGAAATGAGTGTAACGGTAAAAGTATATTTATAATTAAAAAACAAAACATAAAAAACCGACGATTTAGCAAACCACCACGATATTTACTATTTAAAAATATTGCAACGTTTAAAAGCTAATTTTAGGCAAATTGAGAACAAAATCTGAAAAAATTGCAAAGACATCAATAATAATTTTTAAACATATGTCGGATTCAGACAAGAACGACAGAAGACGCTGATTTTACTCGGTTTGCATAATGCGCCAGTGCCAGGCAAAGAAAGAAGCGTAAGGGCACGGACTAAAATCATAAAATGGCACGCCAGATGAGAACTTACAGAGATTTTCATTGTTCATTTGAGAAAAACAACTTGACCATTGCGGACTCAAGTAATTCAGAGCTATTAAAACATTAGGGAGATGCGTTTCTTTCTTCAAATCTCCCAGACACGAATGAGCCAGTCTTCTTCTCAGCTCACCGTTCAGGTACTTTGGCCTGCTGCTCATTATCCAGGACGAGGCACCCGCAGAAATCCTCAGTTTTCTTCATACGGGGACCGGGCCTGACCATCCTTGCCGTCGTGAGATGTTGCTAGCGGTTACTGTGATACTTCCGGTTGTGGTCTTATTTGTGGGGATAGCGTGGTTAAGGGTTCTTGTGCTAGTTGTAACGTCTATTTCTTTTCGTGTCTGGTTTGCTTGGGTTCAAATATGACGCAATGCCGATGTGACCGGTAGGAGGCCAAGATTCCGGTTGTTCGGTTTGATGTTTTGGCACAGGCCTCATGAGCGTGCCCCAAATGATAATATTATAATCTTCGAGGTCGGTAGCACAACCTCCAGCTTAAGTACACATGGCTGTCATTGAGTTAGGACTGGTGAGCTCTATCGCCCTTAGGTGTTGGAATCTAATTTGCAGATTTTATGGAGTCTCCTCAACGCAGACGAAGTTCTCGTTGTCGTCGCCGATTTTACCGAAAGTTTTGTAGAGGAGTAAGAGTCCCTTAATCTACTTGAAATGACGACAAAATGTGACTTGGGACCTGTGGGCCACATCTGCATAAATTTAAGAAATTGCGGAACCACTCCTTGGAAATCTATAGTTGTAGGTAATGATCCCACAGTTTCAGTTGTCCCTGTGGTTGCCGTTAGGCCTCCCTTGTGCGTTTGTTTTGTTCAAGGAAGGAACTGTGTCAACGTTTGTTTCAAGGGTGTTGCAGAAGCAAATTTACCCTGTTTGTCGCAGGACGATTTCTGCACTCAAACCAGACTGTTGTGAACACCAAGCCTACTCTTAGCTTCTTCTACCAAGGTTTAGGCAAATTTTAATGTAGTACTATAGGATTTCAATGGCATTGAACTGTTAAAAGGCCTTCTCAACGTCGTAGTGCATGTTCAGGAGGCGCTTTGCAGTCGTCTCTGCTAACGGTTCTAAACTAAAAGTGAAAAACGAAACATAAACCAGGGGGAGCATTTATACGATCACGTCTGCGATATGTTAGAAGAAATCCTTCACACAAGTAACGGTGGTCTACGAGTCCAAAGACGCTAGCTTGACTGTGAAACAGCTAATCCTCCAGTCTGCAAACTGATTTGTGCCGTAGCGACAGAAGCAGTCCAGGCACGCTTTTGAAAATCAACTCAATCGTGCTTTCGAGAAGTCTGTGGGTTTCAAGATTCACTAGTATTTTCGATTCATTTTTATACAGGCAAAATCCCTTGGAGTATCCACCTAAGCTACTTGCTAGTTGGTGTAGTTTACTCTTACTTCTGATAAGTGCTCGGTCATCCGCTGCCGTAGTTATCATGCCGCCTATCTGAAGTTGTTGCTTTGTGTGTAACTGCACCAAGTCCGGTAGACGGCTCCTGACAGAGCCTGCCGTGGAGGTGAGTTTTTTGATCCTCAGCCAGAGTTCTTGCCTCCGACATGTGTACAGTCTTGAGCGCGATGAGGTTATGAGGACAACTAAAGATTTCCAGAGAATTTTTCCATACGAAACAACTCCAATACTTTGGTTCTATGCAGTACGGTCCGTGGGTGCTGCGTGAGAAAACTGAGGGGATAACCATGGACTCTGAACGTTCATTAAGAGAAGTGAAACTCGGAAACTTTGCCGTTCTCTGCATTCCCGTGCATCTCAACGCACTGATAAAACTTTCTCCCGTAGCTGCGTTTTTGTCTGATTCAGTGGCTTCAGTTGATATTCAGTACTCCCGTTGTGTCTGTCATTTTCCCGATTATTCTAATTGTAGACTATCCGCTATTGCGACAGGTAATGAAATTTTGGAAGTCCAAATGATTGGTGTCTTCCTCCTCCGCTATGGATTTTGATTCTGGAAGACGGCGTTTAGATCCGCTTCGAATGCTAGCATTTGAGTCTGTTCGGAGACGTGGAAGCATCATCTGCATGCTGAGTCTGGAATTGCGGTTTGCGATGTTGGGATACCGGCGACACCAACCGCTACAAGGCCGTCTCAGGCATGAGTCAATTGATTTGTTAACTAACTAGCGTGCTTTTAAAGACGAGTGGTATAGCTCTAATAGAATTAAACGAGGATGTGCTATTTCGGTTGTTTTGGCCAAAATCCACAAGGCAGTCAAAACAACAATTTACTTGATGTGACCCCAACACGACATGAATAGTCTTTCAACAAATATCAGGAGAATAGATAGAGATTTTTTATGACTGACAGTTGAGGCTCGGGATAATTTTGAGACCCTCGAAAAGGAAAGTAACAATAGTGCACTCCTTATCACTCACAGAGCGCTTTTAGTTCTTCTAGAACATGTAATGCCGGATCTGACCGAAAACCTCATCTGGAAAACCCAGTGTCCAAGGGAGCAGGACAGATATGTCAACTAATCTCAATTTTTAGCGATTCGATCTATTTTACCCATGAGATTATCTTGCTTAACGGTGTAGTTAACTAGAAACAACCCTATCGTGGCATTCGTAGACGAAAGGTTTGCTCGGCTTGAAAAAACTGCATCCTTTTAGGATTCAACAATTATTATTTTGTCACAGAAGGTTAGTCTTATCCTAAAATGTTCCGTCTTAAAACTGGCTTAGTTTTCAGCTTAAACGAAGTATTACTTCCGCTAGTGGTTTACCTCGAAAAAATCGCAATCATTTACGTAAATTGTTTTAGGTACCTGAAGCATGAAATAGAATACTTCCATTAGTCATCCGAAAATTAGCTTCGATAAAACGAGACACTGAATTTGACCCACGATGCAACGTTCTTCTTATAGGCCATGTCAAGCTTTGCCTAAACCAATGATTTAATCAATAGGTGTATTGGCAGGTTTAAATAATTAATCTGATCAAGTTGTGAAAAATTCAGCGGCCTTGGTGGGATTTGAACCCAGTGTAGCAACCGCAAGGCTTCAGTATAGCAGTGCTGTAACAACCTGAGCTACAAGGTCGCACCGTGGTTAGAGCGTCAAGTGTAGTCAAGATCTGTCTTTGCTGTCGCCAGGTTCGAATCTCCCCGCAGCCGCCGAGTTTTTCACAACTGGGTCCAATTAATTTGTCGCAAATGTCACTCTGCCTATAATACCAGGCGCTCCGCGGCATTTGCAAAGCTCTATATAGGGCCCAAAGGCACAACAAGAAGACTGAGTCCCGTAACGCGATCGGTGAGATCTCTCTGTCATTGTCAATGTACCCGATCGCAACCGACAGGACAACCAGCCCGTGGCTGAATGGTTAGGGCGTTGAACTTCTAAGCACCTGGTCGCCGGTTTGAGCCTCGGGGATTGCACAGCTCGGGGGTTGAGTATGAATGGCTGATGACGGCTAACAAATCAGAAATGGCCATTCCAATCTCCCTTGACTCTGTCGACAATTTCATTCTGCCAGAAGACGAAGCCTGAGGGTAGATTAATACAGAAGTCTTTCAGGCTTATTCTGCCTTCACTGGGTCGATCATAACCCTGACCACCAACTGGGACGAGAAACACAAATATTTGCCCGTAAACAGCGCAGATGGTCTACGGCCAGAGTCCGGCAGATTGGCCATAGGCGTTCCGTCGAATCGAAGTAAATCGGTACCTCGCCACCTGTCACTGTCTGTCGCTGCAGACCAGGCTTTTATTCAATCATAAATGAGCCCACACCGATCAACAGGTTTTCCGAAACAGAACTGTATCAGTCTGTCCGCATTCTCTGTCGTCTATCCCCTCTGCTATCACAACTTGGTTAAATTCGGTCTGATAGTTGGTTGTCTCTTCGTGACCCTTGTCATCTACGCCGAGCTTGTTTGCTTGCGGTGCGCTAACTGGAGCAGATGCGGATGAAATCTAATAGGGCGCATGACTACAAAAGCCAAAAATTAGACGAACAAGCACAACGTTGGTCAGTTAAAACAAACAAATGGCAAAGTGCAGCATAGTAGGAAAGTAAAGGAATATGATAACCAAAGTGCAAATCCGACGGCAAATTATGTCTCGTTAATGGCATTTCCAACTGACTATTGTCAATATCGACCGTTTGCCGCACAGTTAATCAATCATGATAGGCACATCCTTACTGCCATATCTAACCGGTTAACGTTTCCGGACGGAACACTGGAGGCCAAAAGCCAGGAAAAATCTAAAGTTTGGCCGAGTAAAACGAGCAATTATATTCTAACTTACTTCCAGATATGCTCTCACCCTTAAAATCGGGTCTTAGTGGCTTTTTTATACGCCGTTTTCGCATCAAACGCCTAAAACATGCACGCAACTTCAATGCTTTTTTAGCACTACAGCGTACGTGCTAGAGGGTTGTGACCAAACCGACTTTTTGAGAACGAAGACTTAGCCGGCGAACCTACAAAAGCCATTCTTCTTGAAAATTCTTGCTGTTTCGATGCTACTGGACGGCAAAAATGCATGGGTGGGGTCCTCTTTAAAGAACGTTAACATCAAAAATGTTATTATAGCCGGTTGCCTAA